CCATTTCTAGACGTAAATAAGAAATTTTTGCCCTTAATTGTTCTGTATACATAGAACCATAAAATTGTATGCGTCCAATGGTAATTTCGAAAATTTTCAAAACCCTTCCTCTTGAGTGAGAACTATTTTTCCTCTAGCATCTCTAAGTGGCATGGTGTAATCATGGTTTACCGTATCGGTTGGTACACGATTTTTTGTAAGTTTAATACTTGACTTGTATCGGTCAGTTTACAATGACTTTATCTGAGTCTGTTACACCGCGACGAATACCGCAACCATAACCAATACTACCAACTATAATAAAAAAGAATTTGTATATATTTTTATTTTCTCTTTGGTGGGGGGTGAGGTGACCGATACATTTAAAATTGATCCTTTACTTTTACTTTGTTATAGAATTTATAAATGTAAATTGTAATCCCAACACACACACACACACATTATAATATCCTCTATGACGTGCGCTTCCCCCTGTAATTTGGAGTACATGTTAGTGCACCTCTATCTGTACTGTCTCTTCCCACTTTCAGTTGAAGAGAAAAAGTCACTTTAATGAGTTGGTTATGTAGATAACTAAGGTATTTAGGGTTCTTTTTGTAATTTCAACAAAAAATGAACTTTACACAAGGATGTCCATTTTGGCAAGAAATCATTGGAATAAAACTGCCTGCATGTGCCTCTGTTATACTATCAAAAGTTTCGTATAACTAATGGTTCAAGAGGAGGGCCCCACGACAATTTTTTTTTTTTTGACAACCAATAGATCGTATCATACCATAGAAGAAGAAAAAGTACAAGCAGGAATAAAAGCATTTAACAATCACGGAGCCTAATGCTCCACTTCAAATCACCACATTCGGCTTCAAGAGCCTTTTTGCTTAAAAGATGAGCTACACCATTTATTCCATGAGGAATTCAAACAAGAGATGAACCAAAACAAAGGGAAAGTAAAGTACAAATATCATGAAAAATCATCACCTGACCCTTCACGGAGACTTGTAAGTGCATGACAGATTTACAATCGCCTTCAACGACCACATTCCTGTAACCCCAGCGGTGCAGAAGTAAAAGAAAGGCTCTCAAAACAAGAGATTCAGCCAAAGAAGGAGATGACACATGCATCATGAAAAAGGAAGCAACTTTAACAGGCCGTCTAAGATGATCCCGGAGAATCGCCCCACCCCCACAAAAATTACAAGCTGAATTAAAAGCCGCATCAATTTTACTTTATTTTATTCAAAAAATTAGTGTTGCAACAGAAATTTTATTACGCAATATATTAAAAAAATATGATACAATACAGCGAGTTTAAAATAAATACCATTATTTTTGCAGTAAAGTAATATAATAAGTGTGAAATGTATCAAAAATTGGCTGATTCGATCGATTTACATTACCTTATATCACAACTATGAACCATGGTATACATGTATATAGTAGTGTTTAATTGTTTCCTGGTAAGTAGGAAACAATATACTTACTTTTACTCAAAGTCTTATGATCTAATCCGACAGCTACGGGAGAATAAATATTTTAAGAAATTAACATTATTTTAATTAGCCATTAATTATGAAATGACGTTACATTTTTAAAGAAAAAATATATATATTTAACCGTAAACTGTCATCACCCCATCGCCACTGTCACCTCTACCCTGCCACCACCACCACCTCCATCTAGACAGATTTGATGGCTATTTTTGACTAAGAATTACCAAATTTACAAATTAATTGGTGTCCTTATAATTATTAGTGTATGTGGTGGTGGTGGGTGGCAGTATGGTGGTGGTGGTGGGTGGCAGTGTTGTGGTGTGGTTGGGGGAGGTGGTTGTGGCAGTGGGGGAGGAGGCGGGTGGTGGTGACGGACTGACAGTAATGAAAAGAGGAATAGTTAAAGTTTAATCAGATTAAAAAAGTTATTATTTTTTTTTGAAAAAAAAATATCCAATATAGTTATTTCATAATTAATCGCTAATTAAAAGAAAGACAATTATCTAAAATAACTATTATTTCAATTAGCCATATGATTAAATCTTAAGATTATAAATAAAAATGAATATATTGCACTTGCTCACGGAGCAATTGAACAATACTGTGTGTGTATATATATATATATATAATATGAGTTTACTACCTTTTGATTTAAAAATTTCCAGTGGGCCGCCGGAGAAGGAGACAAGGCCCGTGGGACCGTGAGGCCCGTGACACTGGTGAGTACAACTAAGCGGCTACGAACCTAGACGATCTTCCAGTAAAGTACCCTTTACTTTAATACCTATAGTAAGTCCATCCCAACTGCCTCTGTCTGGGTTATTAAAAAATTAACGAAAATCTCCTATTGGCCCAACTTGGAGGGATCCTTAAGTGGGTCCCACTCAGCCTCACAAACGCTCGTGCCATGTCACCCTCCAGTGATGACGTGCTAAAACGGTATTATATTGTAAAATGGGCATGAAACGAAATCGAGTAATGGCATTTTGTCACGTCATCACCCACGTGGGATCGATCCCTCGTGAATTTTACTTCCCAGTTCATGCATGAAAATACACTCTATGGCATACAAAAACACCTCAACTTTCATTGTAATAACGATAATACTCAAACAATGTAGTATTTTCGCGAGGTGAAATTCTCTTAATATGGTGGGGGTGGTTCAACGGCATTTCATATTTTTCAACATTTACACGTGTGACCGTGTATTCAAATATGCATATGTAAATTGAGATCCATTTGATGCAGGGCAATACAATACAAAATTTCAACTCATAAAATATACCTGCATCACAAAAACAATTATATTTATTTGTTCATATTTGTCAAATCTTTTACGAAGTATCAAGTATAAACGCATAATTTAGATTACGCATATTTGATTGGTTAATTAAATTAATTTGTTACAACATTTTAGATAAAAGCAAGTTAGAAGTAAATAATTTGACTTTGACTAAAGGGTATCTCACTCAGTCGTATAACATTTTCATTTTTAAAGAGAACAGAATTTGGGTGTGAATAAAAAAATGTTTGTAAGTAAATTAATGAGTGTATTTTTTTGTCAATATAAAAAAAATAAATAAATAAATAAAAATTCGGACTTTGGGGTCATCCCCAGGAAGTTACATACATAATTATCATCTTATAATTAATTGTTGATCATGAGAAAAATATAAGTAGAATTGTCATAATTCACTACGTATGTTATTATAATTATACAATATTAAAAAAATAATCCTTAATTCTTGAAATGAATATTGTCCATGTAATCCTTTTAGAACTTCCTGTGAAATAAAGGTCTATTTTTTCTGTGAAGTCATGCTAAGTCTTTCAAACGCATGCATGTGTATTGTACTTGTACGTATGAATATTTATTAATTAACTATACAAAATCCATGATCTTCTCACATACGTACATGAGTTCGTATATGTATGAACTGTAAAATCAAATTTTCTTTTATATAACAAAAAAACAAATAATATACTCGTATATATTTGTTTTGGGCATACATTCACTAAAAAAACCGGATATTATGGGTCTGGTGTTCAAATTACATATCTTTTAAAATGTGTAATTTTGTTTGGAAGTGTAAACAATGACATGAATGAATATAAATGCATTGATCCTTAAACCCTTACAAGTGGGGTTACTTGGGATGCTTTTAAGGGGGATGCACCCTACTCCATTAAATCGCACGTGGGTCCCAGATCCTAATTGGGCCATTCTTGACCACTCAATCAGTGGCACTTTCATATTCAAGTTCTTGACCTTAAAAATCTTCCACAGAATGCTCATCAAAATTAATGGTCTTGAGGCTCATCACATGATCGCCACGTGTCACAACTTGATGCTCGTAATCTGAACTTTGATTGGGTAGGAGGAGCAGAAAACAGTGTCTCTCTCTCTCTCTCTCTCATGATTCTCATCTATATATATATATATATATGTATGTATGCATGCATATACAGGTGATTAAGAAGTGGACAATATTGGCTGCTAGTTGTGGAATTTAAAAAATAAAGGGTAAAGATGGGGCATCCTTGCACATGGATCATGGTCAGATATGGTGAAATACAAAATCATTATCAAAACAATGATTTATATTATGTGTGTATATAACTGGTTACTAAGAGCATATTCTCTAGGCCCAACAGCTTCTAAAGAGTGAGCTAGAGAGACACTGCCATTTCATAATTCATTTTGTTTTGACGTACCCCCATGTGGTAGGTTAGGAGTACGTCTTGAGTTTCAGACTTTCACTTCGCGTGTTAAAAGTTAGAACAACATAAGATGTCGTGTGCGAAAAGAGCTAGTTAATTTAATACACCATGTTATTTTTTATTTTGAGTTCGTGATTTTTAAATCACAATAAATTAACTTAGTTTTGCATCAAAGCCTGTTCTCGAAATAAGATGCCATTTGCATACTATATTTTTTTTGCTGAGTTGTTTATTTGGGGTTAATATTGATTGACATGTTATTTGTTTTGGTGCAACGAGGACATGTGTCGGGTTTCAAGACAAGTCATTTTGTACAAAAATAAAAATAAAAATAAAAATGTAAAAATATATGCATCTATATACGTATAATGAATCACAATTATACTTCATTAATTAAGCACCATAGTCTATAGGCAACATTCAAATCTGAAACAAGAGACTCAAACATATGTATAGATATATTAATCCTAGTTAGGAGCGGGAATTATTTACTGAGGAGAGAATCAAACTTACAGTTTGAAAATCTGCGCAGAAGATTTCACTGACTATATTCAGTTTCAATGTCAGAAAGGTTCGTAGTATATATCTATATATATATATCAATACATATATGTATATAAAATTAAGCACATAGAAAAAATAAAACTACAGTAGTCCGCCAATCACAGACATTTTAAAATAGCGCAAGAAAAGCAAGCACAAGCTTGTAATTATCTTGAAAAGCAAGGGCACTTAACAGTTCCAACTCTTATAAATCTCTCCTACTTTCCTAGCGTCCAATCTCCCCTACTCCTCAATCAACACTTTCTTGGTACAAACACAGCAAACCATCAAAGATTCCCAAATATTTTCTCTCACTTTCTATCACTTTGCCGGAAAATGTCGTCATGCAGCAAAATCCGCCACATTGTCAGACTCCGCCAACTGATGCGGCGGTGGAGAAACAAGGCGGCGGTGTCGGCCCGTCGCATACCGTCGGACGTGCCCGCGGGACACGTGGCAGTCTGTGTGGGCACCAATTGTAGGAGGTTTGTGGTGCGCGCGACGTACCTGAACCACCCCGTCTTCAAGAACCTGTTGGTTCAAGCCGAAGAGAAGTACGGGTTCACCAACACAGGCCCATTGGCCATCCCATGCGACGAGTCACTCTTCGAGGAGATACTCCGATTCTTGTCCCGATCCGACTCGGGCAACTCGGGCCGGTTCACGAGTCTCGAGGACTTCCAGAGATACTGCCACGTGGGCATCCGAAGCAATCTTGATTTCTGGCCTGAATCTCGACCACTTCTTCATGGGCTCGCTGATAAATCCATTTGGTGAGCAATGAATGGGCTCATTCATATGTTGAGAGTTTTACCCGGAGTTGACTCGTCCGAGTTAACTCGTCCACTGAGTGGATGGGGGTTCGGGATTATTTACCAAGTGATACCAAAAGAGTTGATGGGTTCTGATAATTTTTCCTTTATTTTTTTTTTATATATATAAATTGTTATGTAATTTGTTGGGTGATTAATGGGGGTGGTGAGTACTAAGCTGAGACCGGTTTACTCTGGAGAATGTAACGGAGATGGCAAATAGGTGGCCGAGTTACCACCGAGTCGTCCTGGTTCGAATCGGAGTGAGATACATTCTTTATGGAAAAAAGAAAAGAAGTGAATATTGAGTCACTTTTTGTAAATTCAGTGATTTATTGCTTGATTAATGGAACTTGTAAAGAATTTGAGCATGATTGTCCACTATCTATTTCTATATACCTTTATATATATATATATATATATGTATAGACACATGATTGTGTCTGTCGTGCTAGCCGTTGTGGGAGTTATAATGCACCAACCCACGTGAAAGCACGACTCACCCTATTTGTTCTGTTTCACCTGATCATATATGAATGGGAGAAAAATCCCCTCCATTCGCGTCTCACTGTAAAGTGTTCAGTGGTGGGTCCTTGATTGATGTGGTAAAAATAATAAAATGCATAAGTAATGTAGTTTTTTTTATACCATTCATATACATACTTGCTTATAATACTTCGTTTCTTCTATTCTTTCGGTAGATAATACATCATTTCAGTTTCAATTTTGAAATTCCCCCTAAAATGAAAATTGAGCTTGCCCCCAAAATTGCCATATATATACTAATTCTGAAATATTCCTTTCTCTCTAACATCCAAACTAAACTCCTTCATCAAGTGTAACTGAGAAACAAGGCAACCAAGACATAAAGATAAAGATTTTGGAAAAGAAGAAGCCTAATGAGGACGTTTTCTGGAAAGCAAAGGATTTCCCTGTTCAAAGAAGCTCCAAGAAGGGGAATCTGACGTTTTCTAAAAGGCAAATGATCTCCTTGTTCAAAGAAGCTTCGAGAAGGAGAGATTCCCCCAAAAGAATTTCAGTCAGGCGAGAAACTGAAGCTCCGATCATCCAGTCAGGCATAATTTATACATCTTCTTTATGCACGTATTATTGCATCTTTCCAAAATCGTATTTGAGTTTCAATTTTCAATTTCTCCCCAAAAGGAAAGTTGATATTCCCTCAAAACTCTACTATATATATACCATACCTGAAATATCAAATAGGAAATACCTTTCTGAAATTTGAGATTCGGTAAAGAAACTCTCCCCAAAACTCTGCTATTTATGTTTATATGTAAAAAACTCTCTTGGTGAAGGTCGAAGAGGCATAACAAACAAAAGGAGATCTAGTCGGAAAAATCACCATATATTCCGGCAATAAGCTAAAATTTCTGAAAATGAGAGATTCCCCCAAAATATTTCTGACGAGAAGCTGAAGCTCCGATCATTATAAGTATTAGGTTGTTATTTTGAATTTCTTGTAACTTTATTCATAATGATATATCAAAGTTTATCTTATATTAGTGGTGATTTAATTTTTGTAACAGCATACAGCTCAATTTATTGTGCTCATAACTTATTTAAACATGTATCATGTATGAATTGCATATTGTATCAACATATTTTCTTAATACGTTAAAAAAAATTATTTTCCACAACTCAATTTCACAATTTCTAAATTAATAATAAGAATCACAAATTTTTTCAATATATATGTAGGAAGATTTGCATATTCCATCACCTACTTTTTGTAACAACATACAATACTAAAGTTGGAGAGATCAAATTATTATTATCACAACTTTTTTTTAACATGTATCATGTATGAATTACATATAGCATCAACATATTTTCGTAACACATTAAAAAAAATCAACTTCTACATCAAATTATTATTATCACAATTTTTTTAAACATATGCCATGTATGAATTGCATATAGTATCAGCATACTTTCTTAACACGTTAAAAAAAATAATAATAAATAATAATAATAATAATAATAATAATAATAATAATAATAATTTAACTTTCACAACTCAATTTTATAATTCCTAAATTAATAATAAGAATCACAAATACTTTCAACATATATGTATGAAGATTTGTATATTTCATCACCTACTTTTTGTAACAGCATACAATACAAAAGTTGGAGAGATTAAATTATTATTATCATAACTTTTTAAAACATGTATCATGTACGAAGTGCATATAGCATCAACATATTTTCATAACACGTTAAAAAAAAAATAACTTCCACAACTCAATTTCATAATTCAAAACCTTAAAATTTATATAATCAGTAAATTATTTCAAAACCTTAAAATCTTAAATAAATATATATTTGGATACTGAACTGTACCAATACATAATCGATGTTTCCTATTTGTAATTTTACTGAAAATGAATGGAATAAAATATCTTTGAATATAATATATTGTTATATGTATATTTGGTTGTAATTTTACTGAAAAGGAATGTAATAAAATATCATTGTATATAATATATTTTTATACGTATATTTGGATACGGTATTGATATATTTTTGTATATAAGATGGTGATTTGTAATTTTACTGAAAATGAATGAAATAAAATACTTTTGTATATAATATATTGTTATATGTATATTTGTATATAATATATTGTTATACGTATATTTGGATATTAAACAACACCGATATATTGTTGTATATAAGATTTGTATATATATTTTTGTATATATAATGTATAAGTGTATGTTGTATAATTGGATTACAATTTGGCTGCTGTATTAGTACATCTGGTAAAAAAAAAAAAAAAAAAAAAAAAAAAGGCATCACTAACTTTGTTGACTAAATTGTTTAGTGGGCGCTGAGTTGGAAGTGATTAGATGGTGATGTGGCAAAAAGGTCTGAGGTGGTTTAATCTCAGCTTTTAGATTCTCAATGGACCTGCTCTAATGAGATGTGCACTGGAGCAGATTCGGATCCGAATGAATGTCACCTTTTCAACAGGATTCTTTGTTATATCTTAAAAAGAGTAAATTTATGTTGACGTTAATTCCTTTATTTATTTATCTTATCTTATTTCTTTAATTTTATTTAAATGAAATTTTAACTAAAACTATCTGTTACCCAAGAATTGACTCTAGAAGGGGGTGAATAGAGTCAATGGCCAATTTTCGCAAATTATAGAAATACAATTTCTAATCAACAATATAACCAATTATGTAATAATCAAGATATGAAAATAATCAATTTAGCACAAATTTAAAAGAGATAAGGGAAGAGAAATTGCAAAAAATAACATAGTGATTTTTGCGAGGTTCGGAAACTCCTACTCCTCGGCTCAAGATCCCTCTTGAGACTTCCCAAATTCCTTAGAGCTTTTCCTTAATGGTGGAGAGCAAACCTTCAATTGAAGCAAAACCTTGCTTTTCTTTCTTGTTAGGAGAACACCCTTCTCCTAGGCTTCCTTTTGGGTCACACCAACCCTTTACAATAACTTGTAATAGAAATGAAGTGTACAATGAATCTCTCAAAGATAGTAGTACAATTTTTTTGGCTCACAACTAAAGTATTGATGAATATAAATGAAGTTCAAACTCTATGAATGAAATGAATGAGAGAAGATGAGGAAAATGCAGAACCAAAGCTCTGATGAAATACTAGAATAAAAGTTCAGCAAAGGCTCACGAAATGCTCTCTGAAGTTCATTCTGATTCAGCTATGGAAGCTTGTATATGAGATAAAGATCGATGTCTGAACAAAGGCTCTATGAGTGAGTATAACCAGAACAAAAGCTCTGTATAATGGTAGAGCCAAAAGCTCTCTTTGATGCACTTGAATGAAAGTTCTTGAATGCTCTCTCAAGTAGTATATGAGTGAATGAGAGAGATGAGGAGAAAATGTGAGAACAAAAGCTCTCTTTGATGCAATATAATGTCTCTAAAAAATGGTCAACTTATTCAGCAGACAACCCCTCTGTATTTATAGAATTTCGAAGCTCAATATAGCTGTTAGAAGTAGTTAGGGAACAATGAATGAAAATTTTTCCGTTGTAGTTCAAAACCCTAGAAGGAGCCGGCTCTTGTAAACAAGAGGAGGCGGCTCCCTAGTCTTGAGAGCAAGCCCTCTATTGCATGGAAACGGCTCCCAGCCTCTGAGAGCCTGCTCCCTATTTTGGGAGCCTGTTCTTTGGATGGAAACTTCATTTTTTGTTTGAAAGAGACTTTTACAGAGCCGGCTCTATTATTTGAGAGCCTTCTCCATTTGCTTGGAGCCTTCTCCATTTGCATGGAGCTGTCTCTAATTTCATGGAGCCTTCTTCATTTTCTTGGAGCCTTCTCCATTTGCATGGAGTCGTCTCTAATTTCATGGAACCTTCTCCATTCTTTGAGAGCCTGCTCTATCTTTCATAGAGCCTACTCCATTGGTCTTGAAAGAGCTGACTCTATTTCTTATAGAGGCTACTCTTGCTTCATGAAGGCTGGTGCTAAATTGGATTGGACAGAACAAGTGCATGACTTCAAATGGACATAACTCAGTCCATGAAACTCCAAATGAGGTGAAATTTGAGTCTAAATTTATTACCTTGAAGTCAGCTTTCTAAAGCCACTGGCCTTGCTCAAAAATTCCAACCACAGTAATGGTTAAGGCCGTTTTAGTGCAACCTAGTTAGAATTTTCGCAGAGCAGAATCAGGCATCTTATGATGGTTATATCTCTCTCAATTCAAATCCTTTTTAGGTGAAATTTAAGTCTAAACTCAAGGGCTCGAAGTCAGCTTTCCAATGCCACTGACCTTGTGTAAAAATTCCAACTACACAAATAGTTATAGCAGTTTTAGTGCAAGCTGGTCTGAAATTTTTCTGGGCTGAAAATTGCTTCTTTTGAGATATCCATCTTTCTAGCACCTAGGACTTTGATGAATGATTCAATTTAGTTCAAGGCCTATTTCTAAGAGTCTAGGGACATATGAAGATGATAAATTTCAAGTGCATTGTGTCCTAGAGTCATTTACCAAATTATGGCAATGAAGGCTTTAAAGATGTAATATTAAATTCAATACAATTTCCTTTTCTTTTTAGAGACCAAAATAAACGTTATGATTAATGTGCAAGGTCCTAGCATTTTAAAGCTCATGCAAGCTTGAACTAACTCATTCTTAGCAAAGACTTCATATGTTAAATATATATGTATTGAAGTTCATAGTCTATTGCTAATGATGTAGGAGCATATAAATGATGTATGATATGCATGGTCCTATAATTTTGAGCTTCAAATGTATTCATAAAGACTTTGACATTGAATCTTAAGCTCTCACCATCCTATCTACCATTTTCTTCATTCTTTAACCATGATCGTTTAGGCTTGATGAGGACTTACTTTCT